TGAACGCACGCTGACGTATGAACCAATTGTTAAATGTACTGCGCTGTTGAAGCAAATTGATTGCGTGAAAAACATTCTGTTTTCAAACCCAAGTGGTTACTTTTGAACGGAGCCCTGTTAAAAGAAGACTTTTAACGCCTTGATTACGTTTGGATTTCCTTTAGGTCGATACATGACGTGAAAGCTACTGAGATGGGTAAGTTTCCTGCTGTGGTGAAGTGCTTTTTGAAGAGAAAAAGAAAAAACATTATTTAACCACTTTGAACCTTCACTTTCCAGGAGCAGATGTAGTTCGTTTCAAGGCTGAGGTAAATTTTGATGGACGAGAAATTACTCGCTGTCATCTCAACAGAGTTGATATGGAACTGTTATTAGAGGTAAGCGTGGAGCACAATGAGTGTCTACCTGCATAGGAACGTTTATTCTTAGAAATTCTGTTGAACAATGAGGAAAGATTTCCTCGTACACTATAAAACTCAACCAAGTTACAGCCGCACCGTGGCACAGGTAACGCAAAACAAAAGAGTAATCCTCTTGCCGATAGACAGAAAGAAAAATGTCCCCACCCCAAATCTCATCTCAAAGTAACGGAGAGATCTTGGCCATTGGTTTCAAGTGTAATTGTTAGTGTAGGAACTCCTAGAATCAACTTTTTATTCATCATGGCGATTTTATATTATTTTTTTCCAGGAGGTCCAACAGCTGACCACAGTGCCTGAACTAGAACTTTTTCTCCTGGAACACGGAGAAGAAGTAATTGATATGTTGGGTCAACAAGTAGACAGAATTGAGAAAAATATTAAGGTAAAGTACGTCTTGACCAAAGAGATGGTGACTTAGTTCTAGCCTGTGAACTTGCAAAGAGTGCGTGCGAACAGCAAGTGAGGTGCTTACACTGTTCCACCAATGTGGATTAACCTTGTTTTCCTTTCTCCTTTAGAAAAGAAATCCCGAAGTGCGTCATGTTGATTTGGAGATTCTTTGAAGAAACGTGTTCCTTATCAGTTGACCACGAAGGATTTTCAAGCTCTTTGCTGTACAGTATCCTTGACTCAAGCTTGTCAGGGATAAATTGATGGAAAATTAATCCTGACAATTTATTCATCCCTTCTTAAGTGAGGACTTATCGTGATCACACTAGAGACGATGTGTTACGACCAGCAGACATACACATTGTCGGAAAAAAAGTCTTACCTCTCCCATAATTTTCATTATAAAATGAATTGGAGGGCCCATAATTTACTCAGAGACGTTTCCCAGTATGGATAAAAACTACTCGAGTTGAAATCTGCAGTTTTGCGAGGCACGACGGTTGATGTGGAGGGCTTGTGAATGTCTTTGTTAGGACAATCCTCTATGAGATTCAAAAGTGGCAGCATCAAATGCCGTTTTAGTTTCGCGTTCTCGAATAATCAAGGACATTAGCGGTTTGAAGATAGTTGCCATCTTAGTCGCTAATTACCTTATCTATCGTTTGAATTTAATTAAATTTAATAGGATAATAAGAATAATGCTAAATTTTTGGTGGCCAATCAATCAATCTGTCAATCAATCTGCAATCACACGACATAAATAAATTGTAACTCAAGTTACTATAGACTAAACTTTCACATTCCTCGTTCTTGTGCAAATTTCTTGATATTCGTTTGTTCGAACTTCAAGGTGGTTCTTAGTCCCCCAAACTTCTTTTCCCTGAACGAGTTTATCATATTTATTACACCCATTTTGAAAT